CCTGGGTGGCTCAGGTCATGATCCCAGGGTCCTGGGATTGAGTCCCGCATCGGGCTCCCCGCTCAGCAGGAAGTACTTCTCCCTCTCCCACTCCCCCTGCTTGTGTTCCCTCTCTCGCTGTGCCTCTCTGTCAAATATTAAAAAAAAAAAACAAAAAAAACTTTGCAACATAAAAAGGAGCCCTATTATAAAATATAGATTTTAATTAATGACTATGTAACAACATTGGTACATCAACTGTAACAAATATACCACATTAATGCATGCTATTAATAACAGAAAATAGAGTAGGTGATATAGCAACTTTCTATACTATCCACACAAATTTCTGTAAACCTAAAACTGCTCTAAAAAATCAAGTCTATTAATTTTTTTAAAACCTGCAAGTATAGACAGATTTGTGAATAAACATTTGTATAAGCAGACAAAGAGCTGAAAATCTCTACATCAAACTGCAGTGGATTTCTACAGAGAGTGAAACTGGAAAGAAGGGCAAAAGGACGAATTTTTACATCATATACCTCTGGACTGTCTCAACTTTCCTACACTGAGCAGTGCTCTAATGAGAGGCTCTGTGACATATTGGGAGCCTGGGTCCTGAAGCCAGACTGCATGGATTCAAACCCCAACTGCACCATTAACGAGTTGATGAACTTGCGCAATTAATTTCTCTGTGCCTCAGTTTCTTCATCTTTAAATATGGATACTAGTATGTGTATCCATAGAGCTGCTGCAGGTATTAAATAACTTAATACATGTAAAGTATTGAAACACTACCTAGCACACAGTAAGTGCTCAATAAATGGTGTTCACCACTACCATCAAGCATCTATTATTCCTGATTTTTTTTTTTTAATCTTAACTGGTAAAGACAAATCAGGAAAACTTGGCTCATCAAGCTCCTTTCTAGTAGCCAAATAACAATAATCTGAGGTTTTTTTAAAGCAGATTACAAACAGGCGTGCCCAGCTGGCTCAGTCCTTGCAACCCATGATCTCAGGGTCATGAGTTTGAGACCCACATTCAGTGTAGAAATTACCTTAAAAAAATAAAATTAAAAAAAAAAAAGATTACAAACCACCACTTAACAGTATGAGCCCATTTATACAAAAGCAATCGCTAACAGATTCTGAAATAATCACACAAACAAAACCCTCGGAGTGGTGTGATTCTGGACAATTTTAACTTTCTTCTTTAGACTTTTCTGACTCATTTTAACTTTCTACATTACATATGCATGATTGTTAATAAAATAAAGTAGGAGTCAGTAAGCTTTTTCTATTACGGGCCAGACAGTAAATATTTTAGGCTTTGTAGGCCATATGAGTCTCTGGCCCCACTACTCAATTCTACCTTGCACTGCAAAAGCAACCACAAACAACATCAAAATGAATACAAATGGCTATAGCTCAATAAAAACTTAACTTACAAAAGCAGACAGCTAGCAAAACTTGCCCCACAAATTATAAAGTTTGCGGCCCCTGAGATAAAGAATAAAACTATTTTCATTTTGGAACACAAGATGTGATTTATACTAAAGACAGTGCATCGGCTAAATGGATACTACTGGTGGAAAAAGATTCATTCGTTTATTTATTTGTACTAGTCTAGGGATAGAAAAACACAAACTCTTTTAGGCTCTGGTAATTTTCTCATCCGTAGTGTTCGGATAAGAGAAAATTTGCTACTAAGTAGCCTGTAAAGTATAGATATGAACATATACTGGTGGATATGCAGTTACAAATAGAAGCTAAAAGAAATGTCTTTCATGGGGCGCCTGGGTGGCTCAGTCGGTTAAGCGACTGCCTTCGGCTCAGGTCGTGATCCTGGAGTCCCGGGATCGAGTCCCGCATCGGGCTCCCTGCTCGGCGGGGCGTCTGCTTCTCCCTCTGACCCTCTTCCCTCTAGTACTCTCTGTCTCTCATTCTCTCTCTCAAATAAATAAATAAAATCTTTTAAAAAAAAAAAAAAGAAATGTCTTTCATATTTATACCAATCTGAATTTTTTTCAAAGTTCATAATAATTTACCACCAAGCAGCTGCCACCACAAGTGGAAGTCCCAACTAGTGATGAAATTATTTTAGTTACAAATAGTCAGCAAATGAAAATCTTCATTTCTATGAAATGAAAAAACTAGGAATGAAAAAATCTATCAAATTCTAACAGACTGAGAGTGAGAGGGTGGTAAAAGGAAACAATGGGTGGCCTTTGTTAAGAGAACACTTCAAACTTCAGAAATGACAGTTTAAGATCTCCCCTCCAAAATTAAAGCTTGGGTTGAAGGAAATTGTTTTTAACACTTCACTGAGAAGTTTTGTGATCAAACGATTTTAAATGTTATAACAGATTTCTTCAAGTTTTAAACGGTTTCGGGGGGGGAGGGGGGAACTGTTTTTGGAAGAGATCTAATGGGATTAACAGTAGGCTGAGAAATCCAGAATCTAAAAATAAAATATTAAAAGGTCATCCTACCAAAAAAAAAAAAAAAAAAAGCCAAGAACCTGCACTGAAGTCACCATAGCTAGTAAAATTCTGGTCGGACATCTGAATCTTTCTACCAAAAGTCACAGTTGAGCCGTCTCATGAAGTTGTCAAATTCCAGAGGCAAACGTATTTATATTTACTGTCAAAAGCCAGAGGGAGGAAAGAAGTTACCTATTAGTTTCCAATCCGACCTCTCTCACAGACCCCTAGAATTGACTTAAACCCTGTTACCATCAGTTTTAAAAGAAGCAAACAGTGACAGACTTGGGAAACAAGGGCGCAAGGTTCTATCGCAAGTAGGTTGCCTGGAGCGCCACCGAAGAAAAGATAAGAAAGGAAAATCTTCCTACCCAGGGACTATAAAAGTACTACCAAGCAGAACCCATTCGAAGCCTGCCACCAAAGAAATTCCTAGAACTAATAAAAGAGACGGAAATGAAAAAAGGGAGGGCAAAGTCTCTCGGTGAGCAGTAAGGAAGGGCAACTGCACGCGAAGGAAGAAGAGCTGAGAGAGGGCTCCGGACTCCGTGCCGGGAGGGGCGAGGCGGGTGAGGGGCGCCAGGCACTACAAACAGCGGTTGAAACGAGAGCGGATCCAGGCCCCTCACGGTCGGCCCCTGGGGCCACTGCACTGCGCGCTGTGCCCCGCGGCGAGTCAGGTAAGGAGGCCAAGTTGAAGGCTGGGACGATCGCGCGCTCCCCGGCCCGCGCCGGGGACACTCTCCGCCTCAGACCCCTCACCTCCTCCTCGACCCCGGGCTCTCTCCCTTCGCCCGCGAAACGGCGCTAACATTCCAGAGACCCTCACCCAGAGCTTGTCGCCGCCTCGCCGCAAGTCTCGGACTCCTCGGGAACCACGGCGGGGGGGGGGAGGGAGGAAAGGGGAGCGGAGGAGGGAGGGGACCCGGAGGAGCTGCGCCGCTGCCGCCGCCGCGATACCGCGTCTGAGATCCTGCTCGAGCTGCCGCGACAGCCGCCGCCACGTCTTCCCGCCCCCACGACTGCGCGTCGCTGTGACGCGCATCGCACGAGGCAGTTCGAACCAATAAGACCACAGTTCGTGCGCAGGCGCACTGGCCCAAACCGGAAACTGCTCTTTTGACTGCTCTAGAACATGGGTGCATCCTGGGAGTTGTGGTTCCGGCCAGGAACTCAACGAAAACAGTACTGAGCATCAAGGGACCAAAAGAGTGCTCCATGGGCGCGCACACAAATCCCCTTCGTTTATTTTTTCTCCCACCAAGAGCGGAAGCAGTTTAGATCAGAAGAGTCAGGGGCCCGCCCCAGCTTGGGGACGCTTTTTCCGGTCTCTATGGATACGGGCTACACACCTTGGGCGGAAGCCAAAATTTAGGGATTTAGGCTGGATCGTGTTTCTGCCAACCGCCAATATATTGTTAGGCGTCGTCTGTGAAAGCTTCCGAAATAAATCCGAAAGCATTAGCCAAGTCTTGTGCAAAACAGTAGCGTTTGCCTTTTATTGCCTTGTTAAGGTATTATGATTTATCACTACTCCTCAAAAACAAATGTGAACCCACTCAGAATACATATAATTCAGAATGATTTGTAAAATGTTTTTAATGTAATAGCAGGTCAGAAACTATTTCAGCATTAAATACTGTGTCCATTTCCCAGAATGAGTGATTTTCTTCCTTTGAGGTTTCAACGGAGCTCTAACTTCTTAGAAATCAAAGAATGGTTTGGTTACATACTATTTCTATAAGAAAAGGAAATACAAGCCCTCAACCCCCCATCCAAAAGTTCGGTTTTTCACTAACCAAAGGATTTACAAAGAGGAAATTTTCGCTTTTCCAAAATGGTAATTGTTCTTTGCCTTTCGCCTGAGCTTGAGAAAGGCTTCCTAAGAACGCGCTGTATTTTCGGATAGCCGGGTGAAACCTGGATAAAAATTGGTTGGCGTATAAAAATGTTTTCCTCACGTTCAGCTCTAAGATGAATTTATCACCCTCTGAACAGGTTATTGCCTTAATTGTAAAAACTCTTGTTAATGATTAGAGAAAATCCATAAGCTTTCAAGAACGCTTATGTGCATACCTTGTTTGTCCTTCCCTTGATCCACAACAAGAGAAAACAAAGAATTCTGGAAAAAGCTGCACAGATCTCATATCAAAAGGCCTAGAGTCTAATGTATGAGGGAAACACCCCTCCCCCAAAAAATAGAGAACTCTTCAACCCTGGAAATGTAAATCCTAGAATTGATTAAAGTTACTAAAATCACAAAAAGCATGAATAAGATGATCTTAATACTAGTATTTTAGGCCACCCAGTTAAGCTTGCAAGAGATAAAATTAATACAAATTAAATTATAGAAATTAAATGTAAAGGACGAAATTCCCTTCAAGGAGTAATTTACATTGAAAATATAAATTACCTTTTTTTAAGTTTGCAGTAATTTGTAAAGATATAGCAATAATGACTTCTATTTTTCCAGACGTAAAGACATAAAGCTTTTGAGATTGAAATCAAGGAAGACATTCATACACTTCCACAGCACATCAGAAACAAAACACAGGTACCTTTGGATAGCAAATTTGACCCAGTATACCAACTCAAATAGCGAAAAGATGAGAAGAACAAGAGCCTCAGGCTTAATAAAAGGTCTGCTAAAGGTGACAGAGCTATATAAGAAAGATAATTTAAAAAGAGATTGTTCGAAGATCTCAAATCTTTTCTCAAATCATCCTCTTAATGATTTGCTTTGACAAAGTGCTTTACTCTAAGAAACTTCCTCTGGAACAGTACTTTATGTGCTAAAACATGTGAGAGAGATTGTTCTCATTTTCCCACCAAGATTTTACCTCTCATTCTCTGTCACCTTGATCCCATTCCCAGATCACTATTGCCAATTCCTGATGCTTTCAATGATAAAATAAACCACATTATTTCCCCAAAATGCTCACACCTTCTCAGCTGTTGAGGATATTGCCACCATACTTCCCATACATGTCCGATGTCTATGCTGGCTTCACCCACGTCCCTTACCTAAATGTCACCATTAAATGTTCCAAAGCAGATTTCTCAGGCCTCTGTCCCAGGCTGTACTTCAGTTAGTAATCCTTATATATATTATCCTATGACTAGCTATCCAAAAACCCGGGAGAATTCTGTAAAATTCTGTATCCTCCAGTGTCAGCTGTGGATCTTTAGAATCTCTGCTCTCTCCATTCTTATCGTGTCACACTTCCCCACAGGAGAGTGTAGTTCTTCATCTTCTGCAGCACCAAGACAAGAGTCCCTTCTACCCCTACACCCCATACTGGTCACCAGTGACACAACAGTGCCCTGTGGCACAGCTAGTCTGATGTAGTCATCTCTACAATTATCAGATGCTGTTGACAAGGAGAACGCATCACTGGGTGAGTAACATTCATAATCTAGTTGCGGCCATCCTGGAATGAGGCTTCGGTGACATTACAGTATGTTGCTGAAATGGTAATATTGGACTTGCTCTAGGAACAGACTTAGCTTCCATTGTGATATGCAAGTCAATAGCCAATGGGAGTTGAAGATGTATCTAAAACAACAAGCAAATGAAGGTGCAGCTTTCAAATTCTAAAGGGTAAAAAAAAAAAAAAAAAGCACTCTGGACTCCATTGTGAGCTTAAACTTGAGTCCACAACTGGTTTTTGTTACTTCTATAAAGAGAAGAGGAATTATTCCATTCATTATTTTCCTAATCAGAACAATTGCTATTTTCAAGAAGAAAAAAAAAGCCAAATTATCTGCTAGAGAAAAACAAATTAGTAGTCTTCTTTGAGAGAATTGTTTCTATGACTTTCCCCCAAAAGATTAAAAAGGGAAACCAGCTTCATTACTACAAAATACTTAAAGACCTCTAAACTCTTCTTTTCTCTGCCAATATCTATAAGCTTTTGAGGGGCGCCTGGGTGGCTCAGTTGTTAAGCATCAGCCTTCAGATTATGAAGGTCATGATCCCAGGGTCCTGGGATCGAGCTCCGCATCGAGCCCCACATCGGGCTCCCTGATCAGCAGGGAGCCTGCTTCTCCCTCTCCCTCTACTGTTCCCCCTACTTGTGCTCCTCTCTCATTGTGAAATAAACAAATAAAATCTTAAAAAAAAAACTTTTGAAATATAAACATTAGAACTGAAGGAAAAATCTGGACAATATAGAAGTCGGACCATAAAAAAAGATAAAGCAAAAGAAAAAGCAAGGAATGAATGTCAAATCAGTCCCTGTGACTATCTCATATATATGTTGTAGGAGAGGAGAAACTCTTATCCTCTTATGTTCCATGGCTGGCCTATGGGATCCCAGAATGGCTGAATGGATAAAAACAAGACCTGCTATGTACTGCCTACAAGAGACTCATTTCAACTTAAAAAAAAAAGATTTTATGTATTTATTTATTTATTTATTTATTTATTTATTTATCATGACCTGAGCCGAAGGCAGACACTTAACCATCTGAGCCACATGGGTACCCCTTTTCTCCACATTCTTGATAGGATTTGTTAGCTCCTGTATTTTTTATAATAACCATCCTAACAGGTGTGAGGTTATATGTTTTTATTTACATTTCCCTGAAGATTAGTGATGTTGAGATTTTTATGTATTTGTTGGATATTTGTATGTTTTCTTTGGAAAAATGTATATTCGGGTCCTTTGGCCATTTTGAAATTGGGTTACTTTTTTTTAGGAGTTCCTTCTATATTTTGGATATTAACCACTTATCAGATATGTGGTTTCCAATATTTTATGCCATTTCATAGGTTTCCTTTTCATTTTGTTGTTGATGGTTTCATTTGCTGAGTGGAGCTTTTTAATTTGAGGTAGTGGACTTGCTTATTATTTTTGCTTTTGTTGCCTTTGCTTTTGGTGTCAAATCCAAACATTCATTGCCAAGACCAATGTCAAGGAGCTTATTCTCTATGTTCTCTTCCTAGGAATTCTATGATTTCAGGTCTTATGGTCAAATCTTTAATACATTTGGAGTTGATTTTTGTATATCATATGAGATAATGGTCCAATTTCATTCCTTTGCATATTGATATCTAATTTTTCCAACACCATTTATTAAAGAGACTATCCTTTTCTCGTTGTATATCCTTGGCTTCTTTGTCAAAAATTAATTTACCATATGCATGGGGGTTTTTCTCTGCTCTCTATTCTACTCTTTTGATTATTGTGTCTCTTTTATGCCAAAACTATACAATACTATATAGCTTTATAATATAGTTTGAAATCAGGAAGCATGGTCCCTCCAGCTTTGTTTTTCTTCCTCAAGATTGTTTGGCTATTCGGTGTCTTTTGTGATTCCTTATAAACTTTAAGATTGTTTTTCTAATCCTGTGGAAAATGTCATTGAAAATTTGATAGAGGGGTGCCTGGGTGGCTCAGTCGATTAAGCATCTGCCTTCAGCTCAGTTCATGATCCCAGGGTCCTGGGTTCGAGCCCCGCGTCGGGCTCCTTGCTCATTGGGGAGCCTGTTTCTCCCTCTCCCTCTACCTCTCCCTCTGCCTCTCCTTCTCTCTTAAATAAATAAATAAAATCTTAAAAGAATTTTGATAGAGATTACATTTAATCTGCAGATCCCTTTGGATAGTATGCACATTTTAACAATATTAATTCTTCCAATCCATAAGCATGAAATATCTTTCCATTTATTTGCGTCTTCTTCAATTTTTTTCATCAATACCTTATACTTTTCAACATACAGAACTTTTACCTCCTTGGTTAAATTTATTCCTAAGTGGGGATGCCTGGGTGGTTCAGTCCGTTAAGCATCTGCCTTTGGCTCCAGTCATGATCCTGGGGTCCTAGGATCAAGTCTCATGTCAGCTCCTTGCTCCATGGGGAGCCTGCTTCTTCCTCTCCCTCTGCCTGCCATTCCCCCTGCTTGTGTTGTCTCTCTCCTCTCTCTCCTTCTCTTTCTGACAAATAAATAAATAAAATCTTTTTAAAAAAATTTATCCCTAAGTGTTTTATTATTTTTG